CCACGAGTTTACCTTTCCTCAGATTATTCTAGTTTTGTTAGGTTTGCCACCAGAAGTCATTATATTGGTCTTTACTTTGTGCACATAAGTACATCTCTTGCCCATACAGAATTCAGTTTCATCTCAAGCATAAACACCCTCTCTTTTAAGAAGAGGCATGTGCTACCTTTGGTTCTAGGGACTTCACGTAAAGCCAGCCAAAACTGCCTTGAACCCCAGTCTTCCAGACACGTTGCCTTTTAGCTCTGTCCCCAGTAATTCTCCACAGGCTCCAAGATGGCACCATGATCTATCTACTGTTGTAGGGCTGTCAGCCATGAACCTTGAGATAAATAAAGATACAACTTTTTCTCCCATATATTAGCAGTTATTCATTATATTGAAATTAAGCTAGTTCCCTAAGTACCCCAGGAGGTAAAGAATGTTTTCGATATGCTTTGTAAAAGCCTGATATAATGAAATCTATAATGACATGGTTACAAGTGTCTCCTAATGCTTTTATGTAGGCACGTTAATGGTTTTTACTAATCTGCTTTTTAATTACCATTTTAAGAAAGTTACATTGCCTCTTAATTATGGTTAATATTGAGATGGGGGAGATAGAGATAAATCATGGTTATTTATCTTCTGCTACAATTTTACTATAAACTCCAGAAAATTATTTGAATCAGGTGGTGCTTTATAATAAATTAATCATGGAAAAGACCATAGGTTTCTTGAAATCACGAATTCATCGAAGTCTAATTCCAGCACTGCCATAATCAGTTTTCTTCCCAAATATTAATAGATGTTTCAGAAGTTACTATTCTAGTTTTAGTCACTATTATTAAGTAACTCTTATTAAGTCGTAAATCAGAATCAATCATAACTAATGTGTGAAGGGTCATGGCGTACAGTCAACATTTTAAATCATAAAAGGGAAAAGAGAGTGTTTTATACTTTATTTATTGGTCTCTTCCTGCTATTTGTTCTTGCCAGGAATTCTGGTGAAAAACAGACATTGTTTAAAAACTGATTTATATGAAAAGAAGTAAAATAAACCTTTTAATGTCATCCTCCTTTAACTTTAATAAATGTTTTTCCTGAATATAAAAGTTAAGATCATTATGAGTATTTAAAAAAAAAATCGTCTAAAATTCCATCATCCAGACATAACTGATATTTGGATTTTGGTGTGTGTCTTGGTAGACTTCTCTGTAAAACATGTGTGTATGCGTGTGTCATGTGTGTGTGTGTATAAGAATATGTATATAATACATAAGAATCTGAGTAATACTTGCATACTGAATAGTCTGATTTTTAAAATTTGCTTAACAGTATGTTTACAGCATTTGCATGTTTGACCAGAGTTGTGAATATTTCTAGAAGCTAATAAATTTTCTATTTTTAAGCAAATAATTACTTCCTTAAAGCATATTTTTAATGTTCACAGAATATTTAAATATTATAGTGTATTTAACCAGTTGCTTAGTGATACCTACATATGGCACATAGTTTTTTCTATCATAAAGAACATAGCAATATTTTTGTACATGGATTTTGAATGCATTTTCATAGTATAAATCTTACTGATGGAATTACTAGGTTAAAGAATATGAACATCTCAAGTCTATAGAAATGCAATGTGAAATTCTTGTTCATCAAAACATAAAAGAATTCCCTTACCTCCAACCCCCTCAACAGTGTTGTCTACTACTATTTTTTTAGTCCTGCACTCTTTATATGCTTTTTTTGAAAGGGTTATTTAATGGCTTGATGAAAATGGTGGTATTTTTAGCAAATGGAGAAAATTATCACAAATGATGCAATTGTCAGCATCATCCTAGATTCTTATTGGAGAAAGGCATTTATTTGAAAGTTCTGGATAATCTGATGATAGCTGTTTATCTGTTTTTAGAAATATAAGGCTATCTTACTTAAAGATTAAGAGCAAGATATGGAAATGTGTTTGATAGATTAAACTAATTTACTTTTAGTCAGTGGAAATTTTATCCCAGTCCTCTCTGTCCTGGAAAACAACCTTATTTGTTTTCATCATGGAGTCACTTAAGGTCATGGCTTATTTGGTTTAATGGGATTTGTATGGTTGGAGGGGGGAAAGAATTAATCCGTTATGGAACTAATTTGTTGTAAGGTTGAAGGTAAAAGATGAAAGTTATACTTAATAAAATTCATAACTGACTCATGGTGTATTTTGGCTCACTTGAAAGATGTATGTTATCAAGTAGAAGCAAACACTTTTCAAATGAATTCATTCATTCACAAATAGACATGAAAAATGGAGAATTTCTTGGATGGCTTCAGAGGAGCTGCGGGGTTTCCTTAAAGTTTGCATCTAATGCTCAGGTGTAAAATCTAAAAGGATTTGGAACCCGGGGAAGGATATACTGCAGAAATATTATCTTTGACCTCAGAAGAGCCTTGGAATTAAAGGATGGAAGTTATCTAAATTCATTTCTAGATGGCATTTTATTCTATACTTTCTGTCTTCCTTTGCTTTGGCTAACACATGTACTAAATGGCCATTCCCTTCAAATTAAAGCAATCTTTACTGTATTTCACATTGATTTGACCACTTCCTAGACCTTTTAGGAAAGATGTCCAGTCTCAGTGGGCTCAGTATATGCACTTCCTGGGACTGCTGTAAAAAATTACCATAGATTAGTGGCTGAACACAACAGAAATTTATTCTCTCACAGTTCTTGACACCAGAAGTCTGAAATCACGGTGTCTGTAGAGACACTTTGCTCCAGGCTTTGGGCAAAAATCTATTCCGGCCTCTTCTGCCTTCTTAATGGCTACCGGTGGCCCTTGACTTGTGGCCATATCATGCCCATCTCTGTCTCCACGGTCTTATTGCCTCCTCCTTTTCTGTCCATGTCAAATCTCCCTTGGGCTCCCTTTTATAAGGACACATTAGACTGCATTTTAGGGTTCACTTAGAGGATCCGGGATAATCTTCCAGTCTCAACATCTTTAACTCGAATCTTTTTTTGCCTTGGAAGGCCACATTCAAAAGCTACAGTAGTTAGGGTGTTGGTATCATTTGGGGGCATTATTCAGCCTACATTACCTGGGCACCTTAGATAAACTTGATTTTACATACTGCTTTCTGTCCACCTTGAACCAGAACATGAGGCACATGACCAGAAATGAAAAGTTCCTTTCCAACATTTTGATCCAAACTGGCCTAAAACTTAAAGGGGAGCAGCGGGGCAGTGTTGGCTCTGTAGTCAATCCAGTACATCTGGGATAGGGACTGAAAAATCTTGAAAACTAGCTTGTGGCTCTAGCAACGGAGACAAAACAGGAGGTATAAAGACACAAAAAACACCAAATAGCTGCTCTTTCCTTGGTTCACCCCAACTGAATGGTTGGAAGGTCACCTTGGTGGGTGATATGTATGTCCTAATTTAACTGCCCATTTTCCCTTGCTTGTACTGCTCCTACTAACTTCCAGTTTTTCTTCTTCTTTAGTAGTAGCTTTTGGAACTTGCTATGACCTTGGACTTGTCCTGTCTATACTAAATTCTCTGTAGTCCAGGGAGGTTTTCCTGGGCAGCCAGTGCAATAGCTCATGTGTTTCAGTTGCATAAGAATTTATAAACAATGAGACTAATTGAAAGACCACTGGCCCCCTTCCAGTAACTGCTTCAGGTGTTTTCACTGCAAAGGATGTGGGATTCTCCTCTGCTTCCCATGTTCCTCCAGGAACAGGTGGATCCCTCTCTGTGGGCTCTGGATGGTGAGATGATGCTTTTCAAGGACGTGCAGGAGGCAATTAAACCTTGAAGTGTCTTGTCAAGGAGGCCTTAGAAAGAAAGCTGGAGAATTTGAGAAGAAGAACCTTTGGCATGGCACAGTGAAAGTGTGTTTTATCTGTTGGCTATGGGTAGATGATTGCACAAAGGATGTAGTTGAGGTGGTCAGTTCCCCACTCCATGCCTTTAAAAAGTAACTTTTTGTCCCTTTAATGTTCTCTGCAGCCATTTGAACTACAACATGTACCTTCATTTGTTCCCATTTTAGAATCAATTATCTGGATCAAACTCGTGAAAAACAACTGGCTGGGTCAACATTTCCTACTCTGTAGGTCACAGTTGAATCATTGTGTGAAATAAGCCAGCCACTGCCTCTAATGCCAGGCCTAGGAGGTATTTCTGAGCACAGACAGCACAAAGAACAGGCCTACCACCACCTCTTAGTTAAAAATTGGAGAGATTCATGATCCTGCAGGGTCATATGGTTAAGTTGTCTCTCTGTTTTCTGAACCTCAAAGCTTTGAGAAAATAAACTATGAAATGACTCCCACTGGCTTGCACATCTTTTTAAGAGATTAAGGTCAAAATTACTGTCCTCCTTTCATTAGCCTCCCCACCCCCATAGCAGGTAATACCCAAGATAGAGATCAGGATGTTAGTAACATGGATAGCAGTGAGTGCTGGGAAGTAACATGGGCTGAGAGAACCAGAGTTCAACCAGTGAAAGCTGATAGCATTAATAGAAGCTTTCATTTTCTTTTCTTGAGATAAATATTTTATATGAGAAACTTTTGTTGCTATGCCATGTAAAATGAAACCAAAGGAAAAAGTGGAAAAATGTGGTCACCGGGAGTGAGAAGATCACAGAACAGATATGGGAGAGATGTTCTTCCAGCCTTCCCTGCAGACTGGAAAACCAGGAACGCCACCATGTTGACTTTAAGTCTATCTTGTGTGTCAGTACTTGACTCCTACAGTTGGTTATTGAAGGATTCTGCAGGTCTATTTTTCTTTCTAGTTTTTATTTTACAGCATAGACAACATGAATGATGATCTGTTGCCAGGGTTAGAACAAGAGAAAGTTCAAATCAGAGGAAGGGAAGAAGAAAGGAAGGCTACTTATGGACTTATTCCACGTATTTCAAGAAAGTCTTTCACAAACACATAAATACAAGTGATTAACCTTTGATCTTTTTTTAAAATTTTGTGTACTCATGAAATATTCTTTTTCATTTTTAGGTCTTGAATATAATCATGGCTAAACCTTATGAATTTAACTGGCAGAAGGAAGTTCCTTCTTTTTTGCAAGAAGGAGCAGTTTTTGACAGATATGAAGAGGTAAAGAAGTATTACAAATCTTTTCTCTTAAAACATTCTATTAACTATAATTTTAATTATGCTATTAAATAAATATGCTTTGACATAAGTATGAATATCTCTGGGATTTATTGGAATTGTTGAAAAAAGACAAATTATGAGATATAATAATAATGATAATGACACTATAATTTATTGTGCTTACTGTGTGCCAGATATAATAATGATAATGAAACAATAAATTATTGAGTGTACACGGTGTGCCAAACTACTTTGTAAGCACTTTATGTGTATTTTTGATTTTTCACAACAACTTTATAAGGTGGTTGCTCTTATTATTCTCATTTTCCAGATGAGTTTCCTATAGTAACAGTTTTTGCTTAATGAAGTACTTTTGGCAGGCTTTCCATATAAACCTTTCTACTTGTTGTAAATACTAGTGTTTGGCCCTTGCACTAATCCTTGCTTTGCTCATTTCATTTAAGTGGACCAGTCTGACTAACACTGTGCATGCTCTGTTTCTGTGATTTACTGGTCTGTGAACTTGCAAGATGAGGATGGCTCCAGACTTGGTGGCTTTGGAACACCAATCATTTAGAGGGGCTGGGTAGGTGGATTGAAGCCTCAGTTGCATTAAAAATGCATTCTATTTTCTTGAGTTTTACTTAAATTTGAGGTGACTTAAGGAGAGATGTCTGATGAAGTTGGTGTTGCCCCTAAGGCAAAGTAAATTTCATGAAAACTTCATTTAGAGTCAGAACTGTATACTTTAAAGATCGAATGATTGACAGAGGTTCAGGTTGTCAGATCCAGAAATGAACTTCTCATGAGTTCTTTTGTGGGTGAACAGGACTTGAGTACTTGTTGACTTGTTTTTTCCAATGTATGTATCAGAAGGCTCCCTGGATTTATATGATAGTCACTTTTTAAGTAAACAAAGTTGATAAAGGCGAAAATGGGCCAAAACATGGTTACTTTTCCTTGTGTTGAATTAAAATACTGAAATGCAGATTATTCATGTGTCTGAAAGTTTGCCAGTGCTAGACAGGAACAGCTAACTGCATTCTGAGAAGAAATGAAATAGTGTTCCATCACTAGAGGCAGCCACTGTTATATCTTTAACATTTTTCTACAAGTCTTTTTATGTTTATCTTTTTGATATTTCTTCCTTGTTTTTGCTTCCGTAGTTGAGATCACAAAATAAGTTAAAAATAAAAATCCGATCCCATCCTTCCTCTATTTAAAATCTTCCCATGACTCCCCACAGAAAGAAAATTCCTCAGGATGAAGTACAAGATCTTCCATAATTTGGCTCCTGCCCAATTCCTACAACCTCATTTCCTGTTAGTTTCCTGCACATATTCTCCACTTTACCGATAATGAACCATTTACCATTTCCCCCATAAACTTTTCTATTATATGCTTTGTGTGTACTGCTGTCTTTCCCTAAAATGCACTTTCGTACTTGTTTGACTAGTGAACTCCTGCTCATACCTCAGAACACAAATGAGAAACTCCCACCTCTATGATATCTTCCTTGACCCATTCAGTAAGAGATAACTCCTTTGGGCCTCCACTCACCTTTTCTGTTGCACATAGTTCGCTGCCATCACATTTTGCTTAATACTTCTGTCTCTCTTACTGTACTCAGTTTCTGAAGTCAAAGACCATGTTTTAGGGCTGGACAGAATGCCTACAACTGTCAAATCCTTGTAGATGTCTAGTGACAAAAAGGATTTTAGATATAATTGGTTTCAACCTAGTCTAGATTTGTTGTTATTTTTCTTCATTTTCTTTGTAATTGAATGAGAACATTTGGTAATCCTTGAGACTCTTGTGGGGATCTCATCTTCAACAGATTCAAAATATTAGGGTAAACCATAGGGAATTTTTGTATTTTGAGTATAAAATTTATTACTATTGGGCTGGCACTGTGGTATAGCAGGTAAAGCTGCCACCTGAGGCATCCCGTAGGAACACTGGTGCCAGTCCTGGCTGTTCTGCTTAATCCAGCTCCCTGCTTAATGTGCCTGGGAAAGCAGTGGAGGGTGGCCCAAGTACTTGGGCTCCTGCACACATGTGGGAGACCTGGAAGAAGCTCCTGGCTCCTGGCTTTGGATCCACCCAACTCTGGCCGCTGGGGCTATTTGAGGAATGAACCAGCAGATGGAAGGTCTGTCTGTTGCTCCCTTTCACTGTAACTCTGTGCTTCAAATAAAATAAACAAATTTTTTATAAACAGATTTATATCAACAACTTATGTAATTTACACCTAATACAATGTAACTGTCATTGAATATACCACATACCAGAAAAGGCCAAGTTTAGGTTGGGTGCCTGTGTCATCAGGATGATGGTCTAAGAAGGAAAAAGCAATATCTCTACTAACCCTGTCAAGTACCTGAAAACACAAACAGATGAGCGAGAAAAAAGCAAGCAGATTTGCTTAACATAAGTGTTACCTGTCGTGAGAACCTTCAGAATGAAAACGCAAAGAAACAGGGATGTGGTGTGATTTTCTGTGTAGGCTTGATGGAAAGAGGGCAGCCAGGCAGAACCTTTGAGACCACGAAGGGTGTGTGAGCTAATGGCTATGAGCCAGCGGGCCTCAGTAAGACCTGGGGCTGATTCTTCTTTGTGTCCCCATGTCTTCAGAGGTAAGGTCATTCCTTCTCTCCAGGTATTAGGAAGGAAAGGAGTTGACAGTCCTATGACCTACTTAGGGGAAGATTAGCTAGGTTTTAGGTCGTGCTTCAGGATAGAAGAGGTTAGAAGGTGAGTGACCTTCCTCCTTCTGTTGTTGTCTCAAATGCCAACCTGCCATATTTGGGGGTAGCTCATCCTGAACCCCATCAATGGCTGCTAGTCTTTATTTGGAACTGGCAAATCCCTGAATCTGCTGGAGCATCCCAAAGGATTTGCAGTTTTCTAAGGGAATTTTCTAGGATCTGAAAATCTTTGGAATAATTTAAAAATACTGCATGACTTCTAATACTTCAGAGAAGGCTCTTTGGAAAAGATTAAGTTTAATCACTGGCTGAGTATCTGTCCCAATGTTCTGTAAGCAAGAACATTTTACAGAAGAAAGTACTTTTCTTGATGAATAAAGTGAAACATGGTTTGTTGAGCTGGAAGTTCACCCATTTGAATCCTGTTTATTTCTTGTGATGATTTTCCTTGTCTATGAATCATAACAGCTGCTATTTAGAAAACACTGATTACCTGTGCTTCTAATGTTGGAGGTGAAGCTAGAAGGAAAGACATTTTGTCTTGGAACGAGTGTTAAAGACAAGCTAGCTAAGTTTTCAACTTTCTTGAGTGCTCTTTTATTAGAATGTTCAGAAAACAAGTTTTAATTTTATAAAGTAAGCATGTCTCTTCATAATAACATCAAATCAGAAAGCCAAATAGTGTTTCTAACTGGATAACTGCCAGTATTTCTTATTATTTTCTTTCTCAATCCTGTAAGATTCATTCATTTTAAGCCACAGCTGTTAAAATATTGAAGGCAACAAAATGTTAGGAGAAAAGGTTTGCTTCTACAGTCTGTGTGTGACCAGCACAGAGGTATGACAGCTGACAGCCAGCGAGAGGAATAAGGATCAGAGGAAACAAAACCCAGGAATCCAAAAAGTATCATAGCAAAGGGACGCCACATAAACGCCCTCAGCACCAAATTAGAACTCCTGTTATCACAGTGACCCCAGCTGTCAGGGCAACATGAGATTATGTTACGTATATTTATTTTGAATATAGGGAAGTGTTTTCAACAGTGAATGGACATTAACTAGGTCAAGAAAAAAATATTTAGTAGCCATTGTCTTAAAAATGTGTATTATTTTCTTAATAAATATAGTTAGTATGAGTACATATAAGCATTGTTTCCTTGTTTCTGTATTACTGAAGAATTCTTTGGGGACAGCCAAACATTCAGAAATGACATAACATACCAGCCTACTTTGTAGCATCTGATTATATTGCCATGCCAATTCTAGATCTGTTTTTATCTAACTTACATGCAAAATATATTTGTTTCCTAAGCAGTGATTTCATTTCTTGAAAGTAGAGACTTCTGCACTGCAGAGGAGAGAAATAGCAGTGTTTACAAAAACACTTGCAGCCTAAATATCTTATCTAGCCATACTCCTGAGTTTCTTTTATTGTCCATATTAAAGGCCATTAAAGGCCCCTCTCCCCTGGCAGGTCAGGGTCCCCCTCAAACTTTCCTAGAATTCCAGTCTGAGGTCTTTATACTCTCAGATCCTAAAATGCCCTCTTACCTCTCTGTTTCAAGACTTGTTGCTTGTTTTCCATCATTTCTGTCACTAAACATTAAATGAGGATATCTCAAAAAGTTTGTGGACAAATAGAATTAAAATATAAGTTTATTTTGATACAAATTTTTTTAAATGCCATCCCCTTAGAGGGGCTCTTCCCATGACCTCATTTATTTTTTTTTTGATTTATTTATTTATTTATTTGAAAGTCAACGTTACACAGAGAGAGGAAAGGCAGAGAGAGAGAGAGAGAGAGAGAGAGAGGTCTTCCATCCATTGGTTCACTCCCCAATTTACTGCAACAGCTGGAGTTGCACCGATCCGAAGCCAGGAGCCAGGAGCTTCTTCCAGGTCTCCCACGCAGGTGCAGGGGCCCAAGGAGTTGGGCCATCCTCTACTGCTTTCCAGGCCATAGCAGAGAGCTGGATGGGAAGTGGAGCAGCTGGGTCTCGAACCAGCTCCCATATGGGATGCTGGCGCTTCAGGCCAGGGCGTTAACCCGCTGAGCCACAGCGCTGGACCCCATGATACAAAATTTTTTAAAATACTTATTTATTTATTTGAAAAATCAGAGTTACAGTGAGTAAGGGAGAGACTCAGAGATCTTGCATGTGCTGGTTCACTCCCCAGATGGCCACAGTAGGTGGGGCTGGGCCAAACTGCAGCCAGGTGGCTGAAGCTTCTTGTGGGTCTCCTGTGAGAGTGCAGGGGCCCAAGTATTTGGCCATCTGCTGCTGCTTTTCC